ACCGCGATATTTTAAAATTTTGTAATACACATCATTAGAATTTACTGTTGAAATATTTCTTCCAAATTTGGATATGATATGACGGTAAGTAAAAAAAATTATGACGGCTGTCCACGAACTTTCCGAACAACCTCGTAGAATTTACAAAGTGCTGACTTTGATAATATTAAAATCAATGTAACCTCAACTTACTTGTCAGTAACCTACCAAAGTTAAAAAACTGATAGCAAACGGAGCATGCTCTTGAGAATCGAATAAGTCGGGATATGTTAACACCATATGCAGGTGATAGCGGGGTTTTACTACAAAAATAAGGAACTATGGAAAAGTTGAAATCATCTTGGTTGTTATGCAATTGAGTTGTAAGTTGGATGTTTCATTTGTCAATAAAACATTCGAATATGAAACAGACGTGTCCATTTGGAAATATTTAAATTTTCTATCTTACCCCCTTAGCATCACCATTTTTGAAGTAATTATTTCCTCTTTCTCCATAAAACTCCCCCGAAACGGTAAACTGTAACAAAACCAAAACCAAACCTTCACTCGTGTCATCTACTAGTTAAGATGCCCTTTAAATCTATTTATTGCAAAATGATTCATCAGTTTCTTAAATTTGCCCTTGAAAGTTATTCTAGATTACGTTTAATTTTTTTTTCAAACGATTCATCGTAAAGACATGGGATAAATAGCAATGTAACCCTTGACAATTATATCAAGATCAAAGGTTAAAGACACTTGGTTTTCCTTAGAAATTTTAGTCATTATTCCTTTTCTGATTTCTTTTTCATGATATGTATTTGTAGAGAATAATAGAAATGATGAATAAAATTTAATGCAGGTGGAAAGATTTTTTACTGCTTTATAAACAAGTAGTCTACTAATGTTTTTTACTAAGCTATACTGCTATGTGTTTGCAATGATATTTATATCAAGAATGTAACTGAGTCAATTTTTAAAATACCTAAAATATGTGATAATTTACGAGCGTCATTAATATTATACAATTATTTCTTGTTTTTAAGGTCAATACGATGAAATAGACACTTGGGGAGTACAATATTCACCGAGCCCGAAGGGCGAGGTGAATATTGTACTTCGAAGGTGGCTAAATCATGGTATTGCGCGGCACAATTAATGCTACAAAACGGAGGCGGGGCCTAATTTTTACGGGAAATATTAACTATGACATCACACGAAACTATCAGTGATTTGAGATTTTAAACTGTAGGAGATAATTAAACTACATCAAAACTTACTATAACATGGGTTTTTTGTCGTTAGTTAAATCAAACAGAGCAAGGTTTAAACAAGTCACTGATCACACTGCACTTGTCGATATGACATCATTCTGTAAAAATTGACGCAGTTTGTATGCAGTGAGAGCCGGATCAAGTAATGCATCCACAAAGATAACATGTATTTCATAATTTAATTAAATATTATTTGTAGATGTTTAAGAGGCCATTAATTTGAATGCAATGTCCTTTTTATAATTTTGTTCATCTATTTACGGTTGTATTTTCTAATTAACGGATACAGCCGTATATTTGTATGCAGGTACACTGGAGGATAACATAAGGGTCTTAATAAATCGATCTAGTGCAAGTGCATACCCTCAATAGATTGTGACAAGTTTTTAATCATAAACTCTAGAAGTTTTAAGCTATTTAAAAAGTACTGCGATCCTGTTGAAATCTTGAAACTGAATTAATTATTTCTATATTTACTGAAGATGACCAGCAAAAAAATTCAGTATACCTTCATACATATATGATTTTAACACTGAAATAGTAGAAACTATATAGGATCGGAGCACTTTTCACAAAATACAATGGGTGTTGAAACTAAAAATTAAACTTCTTGCACTATTGAAATTTATCATTGACCTCAATACTGCAAGTATATATCCTAAAATCACGTGACTGCCACATCACGTGACAAATTAAAGTAGAGAATCTAATCGTCCTCAATATGTAGTTAATAATCATAATTACATTTGTCCGATATTAGTAAAGTACTAAAAAAAATCGCCATCCTGAAAAAAAAAAAAAAAAAAAAAAACATAAAAAATTGACAATATTTCTATTGCGCACGTTAACTGTACTACGTCACCGAAAAAGAGCAATATTTGCTTTTTTTATATGATTCAATGATTAAATGACACTCACTCATTAAGCAATCCATGATATCTTACTTGTTTACATTTACTGAAGTATTAGTCAAACATAATGCGAGAAACGGGGTTAAAATCATCACCCTAAACTAGAATTTTTAATTCTAGTTTAGGGTCGCCCGCGTGGCGCAGTGGTTAGAGCGTCTGCTCTAGAGTCGCGAAGTAAGGAGCTGATCCTTACGTCGCGGGTTCGAATCCCACTGTGGGACGTGGAGACCGGTCCTTCGGATGAGACCGTATAAACCGAGGTCCCGTGTCGCAGTAGGTGCTGGCACGAAAAAGATCCCTCACTGCTCAATGGCCGTAAGTGCCGAGTATAGGACAAAATTTGCAGCTCTCCACCGGCAAGTGGTGGCGTCTCCATATGAGTGAAAAATTCTCGAGAGGGACGTTAAACAACATACAAACAAACAAACAAATTCTAGTTTAGGTGTAATGTAGAAACAATAAATGTCAGGCACATATATAGGATTGATTTTGAAAAACGGTGCATTATAGGGAAAGAAATTGACAAGTTACCTGAAAACAAATTTTCTCCATCCCCTCCCCCTCCAAAAGAAAAGAATTCTCCCAACTCAAAATTTATTTGATAGGTTAATATAGGTCCATAAACGAGTAGAGTGGGCTTTCATTGAAAGTTTTATCCTTAAACTTTAAATTAAATTTTCTCAAAAGGTGGGGAGGGGCAAGCCCCCCTGCAACCTCCCCCTACTCCACACCAACCCATCACCCAAGAATCTATGTGCCTCAATGTTATGTTCATAAGAGTGGACGTCAGATGCAAGTGAAATAAGTATTTGTATCAATTTGGAATTTTCCAAATTTTTTGTCTAATTTGGAGAAAAGAAATCCTTATATTCACCTGAAAGGTCACATGCAGGTGAATATAACGTAGTATTTTTTTCAACAGTGTTGGATTTCAGCCAATCAGAGAGAAAGGTATTATTCAATCATATAATAAAAACGAATATCAGGAGCTATGGACAGGTCAATGAGGAAAGAATAGGCTGACTTTAAGAAGGGACGACGATGCACTGATCAGATCTTCACACTCCGTAACCTCACTGAGCAGTGCCCAGAGTGGTAGAGACAACTGTATGTGAATTTTGTAGACTTAAGAAGGCATTCGACAGCATACACAGAAAGAGTCTATGGGACACCTTACGGCACTATGGCATTCCATCAAAGCTGGTGCATTTGATCAAGCGCTTTTACAACAACTTCAGATGCACCAGTAGTGTTAACTCCCTTGATGTCAAATCTGGTGTCAGAAAAGGCTGTGTAATGTCAGCAGTTTTCTTCATCTTGGTCACCGATTGGGTCATGAGAAGAACAACAGAGAAAGAAGAATCCGCTGGACCCTTTGAGCAACACTAGAAGACATAGACTTTGAGGAAAGTTTGGACTGCTGTCAGATACCTACAGGCACATGCAGAAAAAGACAGAGAGACTAAAAAGCTATGAACAAGAGGTGGGATTAAGAATCAACACCAGGAAGACGGAAACAATGGCCCTAAACGTTCTACACCTACCTAGGCAGCAACATCAAACCTGATGGTGACAAAAGAGAAAACATTTGCAGCAAACTAAGAAAGTTTTCGGGAACAAGGGCAATATCTGGAGTTTGGCGCTATTTGGCACCAACACCAAGCTTAAGATATATCAGTGCTACCATATCTACACTCTTACATGCATGGATCCGAATGCTGGGGTATGTCTGAAGTCGATTTACTAAGTTATTCTCATTCCACAATACATTTATTTGTAAATCCTCAAAATATTCTGGACAGAAAAGATCTCTAATAAAGAACTGCTTAGGAGATGGTGACAGGAGGACATGGGTCATTCATTTCAGGGAGTAGATGGGACGGAGAGTGCATGTGCTTCGAAGAGAACCTCAATCAATAACACTCCACTGGACTTCAAATGAAAAGTGAATGAGAGAAAGACCATGAACAGCATGGGGAAGGACAGTTGGGAATAAGATATGAACCATGCAACACTCAGGGGGATGGCTGACAAGACTGGCCCAAGACGGAGGCGGAAAGACTTTGTTGTTGATCTAGATACAACACAGTCTAATGGCAGTTTATGTTGATTATATATCGAATACTCCACATACATGGGCTGCACAGTCCAGTTCGACGTCGCACTAGATTTATAACAGCGTCAGAAATAGGAATACTTTACTTTCATGAAATAACAGTAGTTTTTCTACTTCCAGTTGTGTCCTTGAAATTGTACATACCATTGAAAAACCATATATACAAACTTCAAATCAATGATCTAGATGTATTCTAATTATTTCCAGTTGTTTGTATTATTAGTTTATCTTTGACGTCGTTTCAAACATTTAGTAGAACATGGTTCAATGATTGAACACTGTCAAATCAAATTTCTTGCGATTTTTCATCATATTTTCAAAATTTGTCCATTAGGCAATGGTACAAATATCATCAGTTGACAACAACCGCTCTATATTTATTTAGCTTTTGCTTGAAAAAAAAAATCATTTTAATCCGAAAACTTTATTTAAAAGTTTATTTAAACCCTAGGCCGGGCGGATTATCTGCGACCTATAAAAATATGAAGATATAAGAAATACCAAACTATTCTGACTTGGATAATCATTACAAATATTTTATGTTCAAAAAGTATATCTAGGATCATTCGGTTTGATAAAATTTTCAATGTCCTCGAACCCGATGGAAAATCCTCGTATATGATTTCCATACTTTTTTTCCGATCAATTTTAAAATTCTTTGTACTAACCTTTATGAAAGTGCTTGACCTACTGTTTTGATACATATTTTGTATTTTTCAGGTCCTTTCTGTGATATCTGCAATTGTTCTGTGCAAACAATCCAGTAAGGATAGAGGATAATTGATGACAGTATCTACAAAGTCTGTTGGAAAAATGTTGACAATTTATTTCTATATGTAACTACGTAGAAGGAATATAAAAATTCAGGAAAATGAATCAAAATGTTATCAAGAGCATATTATGCAGATATACAAAATAACTACTCTGTAAATTAGTCAGATGAGTACTGGTGAGTTGTTAAACTTCCATCATTTCCGTCATTTCATCGCTACATCAGAGTTATTTTCTTTTTCCACCAGAAATAACCCTGAAAGTATACACTGTCCAAACGGACAAACTTTTTTTCTTTCATCTCTTGTTAACCTTCATAAAAAACAACGAGTGCAAAGGATCTTACTGTTTTTACTAATAATTTGTGTGTTATTGCTACCCATTCTCAAATCGCCATGAAATGTCTTTTACAATGTAACAAGTGTCATTTTGCGCAGATTTACTATTAACTTCTGTAATATTGTATAATATTAAATAATTTAGAATATAATATTCTGTATATTTATACCCGCACTTTCAAAAGAAAGTTCGGGTATGTTGTTGTTACTCATGTCTGTCCGTCCGTCCGTCCGTCTGTCACACTCTTCTTTCTCAAACTCTTCTTACATTTTACACAGTAGCCTAATCATCTTTTGGGAGATGGTTGGTGGTGTCATGTAGATGTGCAGTAAGGTTTCGGAATTTTCATTTTCACCTTTGGGTCAAATGGGGGTTGAAAAATGACGTTTTTTATGCAAAAAGCCCCTGGTTCCCTGAACTCCTCTTACATTTTACACAGTAGCCTAATCATCTTTTGGGGGTGTCCTATAGATTTACAGTAAGGTTTCGGAATTTTTATTTTCACCCTGGGGGTCAAATGGGGGTCAATTTTAAAAAAAAAATTTAACATGTTTAAACACCCTGGTTCCCAGAACTTCCCTTATATTTTATACATTAGCTAAAATCATGAACATTTGGAAGATGATTGGTTTTTTCCTGTGGATGTGTAAAATGGTTTCAAAATCTGCATTTCCATGTGGATGGCAAATAGGGGCAGGAAAAAATGGCCCCTCCCTAACCCATGGGGTCATCATTTGTACAAACTTAATTCTACACTTCTTGGGAATGTTTCCATTTTAATCATGCTTTTGTTGTTCTTGAAAAGAAGAATTTTGAAGAATTTTTCTTTTTATTCTTATATAAAACTTTGATCCCTTATTGTGGCCTGACCCTATCCTTGGAGGTCATGATTTAAAAACTAGAAATATGTCCATAGGACATAAATGCCCCGCCGAATGTATATTACTAATGCAACATGAAAATTTGTATGAGTGTATGAAGTTTGATGAGAATATCTTGAACAGTTTCTTTAAAATTGAAACTAAAGTCTAAAAAAATTGGATATAGATGATAAATTCTCATCAAATTATGTATAAGTGCATACTTACATAAAAATATCTTAGATTGTTTCTTTAAAACTGAGCAAAATACAAATTAAAGAGAAGGGAGGTCAAGGTCACAGGAAAGTGCAAGGTGAAAAGTTTCTGATGCAGTTGAATAGCTCTCATTAATACATATTAGCATATTAGGTTTGATAAAAATATCTTGAATGATTTATTTAAAACTGAACTTAACGCTTACTTAAGAGAGGTCAAGGTCAAAGGAAAGGTTGAGGTCAAAATGTTGATGCATTTTAAAAGCTTACATCAGTATGTATTTACTATTAGCATAATTATGAAGTTTGATAAAAATATAATAAATGGTTCATTTAAACGTATTAAAACGTAAATAAACACTAATTTAAAAAAAGTGAGGTCAAGGTCAAATAAAAAGTCAAGGTCAAAAAAGTTGATGCAATTGATAGCTCTCAGTAGTATGTATCAGCATATGAAGTTTGATAAATATATCTTGAATTGTTTATTTAAAACTGATCTAGACACTAATTTAAGAAAAGTGTGGTCAAGGTCAAAAAGGTTGATGCAGCTGAAAAGCTTACATCAGTATGTATCAGCATATGAAGTTTGATTGAAGTCGGACATGACAAGCACTATATGCTTCGGCCATATTCATGGGAGGGCATAAAAAACTTGAATGTACACTATATGAGGATACTTCCATATCAAAATGACTAACAAGCAATATCAAACAATTGTGGCCCACTGCTTTCCGTGTCCTAGGGGATGGGATCCCATTATTTATGACATATTGTTTCAAATATGCACGCCCCATCATATGTCATTCAAAAGTAATCACCAAATTAAAATTTTTGAAAATCAGGTAAAACATCAAGGTCAAAGGGTAAAAAATCATAGCATGCTTGGAAACATATTGGTACAGGTAATGTACATGTCAAATATGAAAGTCCTATCTCTTCTTAATCAAAAGTTAAAAGGAAATATAATATTTTTTAAAAGTAGGTTAAACTTCAAGATCAATGACACAGAGTCAAAAGTCATGATATATTTAGAAAGGTCTGGCCACAGGTAATAAACATGTATAATATGAATACCCTATCTTTTCTCTTTCAAAATGATCAATTTAAAATAATGTTAATTATTTTGAAAAGTAGATCAAACTTCAAGGTCAAGGTCATGGGTTCAAAAATCAAAGTATGATTAGAAAGTTCTTGTAGGTAATGTACATGTGAAATATGAAAGGTCTATCTCTTATTATTCAAAAGTTATGACAAAGGTTAAATTTATTGTGACAGACTGACAAATGGACAGACTGACAGACTAATGAGATTTGATGTCCCCTAGGTCCCTTTCGCGAAAACGGATGACAATAATGCCCTTGCTGTTCTTGAGAAGAAGATTTATGATAGAAAAAATCCCCTGCATTTTTCTATGTAAATCTTTGGATCCCCATATACGGCCCCACCCTACCCCAGTGGGTCATAATTTGAACAAATTTGAATCTACACTAAGTCTATGTAAAGAAAGTTTTTACAATTTGGGCCAAGTCAGTGGTTCTTGATAAAACTTTTTCAAATGATACCACCAAATTTTCACTTATTCTTGATTATCCCCCATTAAAAGAGGGTGTGACCCTTCATTTGAACAAACTTGAATCCCCTTTACCCGAAGATGCTTTGTGGCAGGGTTGGTTGAAATTGGCCCAGTGGTTCTAGTGAAGAAGACAAAAATGTGTAAAGTTTACAGACAGACAGATGGATGACAGACAAAATGTGATCAGAAAACCAGAAAAACTCAAGTGAGCTAAAAACTTATGATCACAAGTACTTGGTTAGAGTTACAGTATTTGAAAAGCAGTTTTTTTTATGCATTGTTTTCAGAGGCTGAAAATGTGTATGACTTGTATCCATGTTGAAAAAACTGCACATTTCAGAAAACAGGATGACTAAAAATAGTTAATCAAGGTGCTTTGAGTAGCAAAATAAGCTAAACTGGTATAGCTAATTCAACCACAGAGCTTAGTCAATTTTAAGATGCAAAACCTTTTCAACTCTTAATCATTCTTAAAATATTTATATCATTCATTTCTGATTCAAGGGAGAACTAGAGATATGACCAGAAGTATATATCCGTTGACTAATAAACATGTACATGTATATTGTGTTTTTTAAGTCATTAATGTTTGTTTGTTGTTAAATGTCCCTCTCAGGAATTTTTCACTCATATGGAGACACCTGTCACCATTTGAAAATAATGAAGACGTACAAGTCGGATTTGAGGTTAACATTCATTTTAGGAGTCTTCAACAATTAAGACGTAAAGAGATAACTCCTAACCCTCACCCCTTCCCCTTCCCAGATCCCTGTTTGTTCATGTAACTAATACTTTGTTTTGAAATAAAAAAAATGTGAATATAAACAAATGGTTTTTAAAATAGTCCATCTTTTGAATGATTTTCATTCCAAATTCTAGGAGGTACATGGGTTGACCCGAATTCATGAATGAAATGTCAAGTAATCTTATCATTGATGCACTTTTATTTAATTTTATGTAGTCATATTGTGAACATTTCCAGTTCATTAAGAGAGTGGGGATGACCTCCAGGGGTTCATAACCTTAGACCATTAGATGTACATAACATAAAAACACAAGCAACAAATTTATGTATAGTCAAATGAAAAAGTATTTTACTATTTTGGAGTCACATGTTCATTTGTCATTTCAGGGACTGGGAGCGGCTAGGGAGATTAGACCCCCCCCCCCCTGGAATTTGCAGAGTTATTTAAATGGGACTATATACTGATTTACAGAAGCCAATAAAAAAATGACTTTTGATGCCCTCCCCACTTTAAAAACATGGACCCAACCATCATTGTTTTTATTTTGTTTGTTTGTTTTTTCCGGAAAAAATTCCTGGATTTGTACCTGTAACTGAATGTAATGTCGACAACGGGAGATAACTCTTCAGAATGTGAAATTCGTCTACTGTGGCATCCGATGATCTTTGATCCTTTTTAAACTTTAACCTAACTATTTGCATTTCGGTTATTTTACCCCAATCTATACTTAAACTTGTACTTACCGACTGTCATAGGTCCTGTCAACTTCATGAAATATAATCCAATTAAAACACAAAATGAATTTATTTCTACTGTACACCACACTGCACCATGTGCAATGTAAAAAAATAATGGTAAAACTAGTACTAGTGCTAGTAGGGTGACGCAGCGCAAGCCCAATGTGATGTAGAAATTTTCAAAAAGGTGTTCACATACATGTACAGTACAAGAACAAATTTTAAATTATCATAACAAACGATGTTTTAACATAACTTATAACATAACCATCTAGGCCCATTTCCAAAAGCAGGCAATTTGTGTGTGTGTGTGTGTTGGGGGGGGGGGTGACAAAATTGATTGGGTGTGGCTTTTCAAGGAGGTTTTTTCCCTAATCAAATACCAAAAAAAAAGTTTGCACATTTTGATAAATTCATCAAAAACGCTTTGTACTAAAATAATATTATTTGTTGTTGAGAGAATAAATTTAAAAAAGTTCGAGTTATGTGCCAAAAAATTATATCCCCCCTTTTATCAAAACCTAATTTACATAATTAATTAAATTCTGTTATTTCAGACTGGTAATGAATTAAGTAAAGGAAATACCTATAAGAGGCTCATGGGTCACATGGTCACCTGAGCATTTTATGCTCGAATTGACGAATACATTTACTGTGTGAATTATACAATTATTTTGACTTTTTCCTTGGTAAGCCCATTATGAAGGAGTGTGCATTTAGAAGCAAACACCTTAGTTAGGGTATTACTGTCTCATGACACCATCTAGTTATTCTTTTGTACATAGAATATACTTGAATATTTTATTATTTTCACAAACGAAAGTTTTTATTATCAAAAAAGAGATCTATTTTAATTGTCTCTTCTGAAATCAAATTCATTCATCATTTATTTTATAAAAATATATAGTTGAAATTATTTTGTATACAAATATGAACAAGCCAGACATATTCTATGTGTGTACACAGTAATTTATACTGGAACAGTGGTGAAATGCTTTCCTTCTGTCTTCAATAATTCACAAGTACAAAGAATTAGATTGCATGACAAATGTGTGCTGGTCCCAGCTGACAAAGCAGGTAACAATATTGACTCTGTGTTTAAGTACTCCATTCCGAAGTGAACAATGAAATTTGAAGATAACGAACAGTTTTCAGTCTCGAAAGTCCAATGAAACGATACAAATTTGGAGCAGAGCAAACACGGACCTCTAAATTTAGAGGTGGGATCAGGTGCCATGGATTAGTGAACATCCCCTGCCGAACGGTCACACCTGCCGTGTGCTCCTTGTCATGATCGGTAAAAAAAAATCCCTGGAAAAGCCCGTGGACAGTTCAGTGTATAAGTAATGGCCTAACAATTAGATTGATTGATTGTATGTTGTTTTATGTCCCATTCGAGAATTTTTCACTCATATAGAGACGTCACCATATACCGGTGAAGGGCTTCAAATTTTGACCTTTACTCGGCACTCAGGGCCATTGAGCAGCGAGGGATCTTTATCGTATCAACGCCTGCCGTGACAGAAATTCAGAAATTCGTGGTTGCTCTGCACAGATTTTCTATTGTGTGATTAGACGTTGAGAATGATTACTCCTGGCTTTTTACACATTTCATTTCTATATAATGATGGGAATCAAAATAATTGTTTTGTTGCTTATATTCTTAATCTTTATTTTGTTATCCACTTGCATAACCTTTTAAATCTGCAAAAATTAATTTATCAGGAAAACCTGTCAGGGTATGACGAGTACTAATTAACGTTTTTTGTTGATTGACCAGAGATTAGGGGCTACCTAATTAACCTCATTTGTTTAACTTACATGTTGCTATACACTGTTAATTCAACCCTGATCCCCTTAGTTTATAAATCTGGTCGGATGTCACATTAAGTACATAATATATACATAAGTCACATTTAGTCTGATCGACTGTTCTGATGAATTTATTCAGAAATAATTGAAAAATTAATAAATGAAAAATATCTTTCTAGCGTAATTGACACTAAAAAAATAATTTAAGAGGGTAAAAGTGTTGAGGTAGCCTACAGATAACTTTATGACGGATAAAGAAGTTTAAACATAAAACGCCTCTAAACTGCAGTTTAACGGTGAATTGATGCTTAAAAATGGTTTTTCGTCCTGTAGGATCTAAGTCGGACCTTTGAAAAAAGAGGAAGGATCAGGTGCCATGGAGGAGAAAGCATCTTCCGTCGATGGGTCACACCCGCCGTGTACATATATGTTTTACTTGGGGTGGGAGGTGAGGGTTTGGGGATAGGGTTTGGGGAAATATAGACGGCATTCTTTATGACCCGGAGAAAAGCGATAATAAGCTTATTTCTTTATATTAATTTTTTTTTTATAGATAATTTTAAGAAAAAGATTAAAGTGTTTAAAATAAATAAGTCAACGTACATAGTTATAAGGAATGAAATATAGGAAGATGACAAATATTAAAACATTGCTGTCATGTCATGCCTTTGTTCTTGCAATCTAAAATATTACCTGTAGCCGTCCGATAATAATAATTACCAGTCCAATAACATATTATCGGACGGCAGTGATATCAAAATCGGGCAGTATTTGAAAAACAAAATGTAGAGTGAAATCAAGGTTTATTATGTCCAGAAAAAAAAGTTGGGGGAAAAACAAATTCAGGGAAAGCAAACGCAAGGAATTAAGTTGCTACAAAATACCATGCAAATCCATGAAGAAGAAAATCGAGTTTTAACCCTCCTTAAAAGTAACACTTTCCGTTGGGTTTTTTGCTAAGCGTTTTCGAAACAGTACTGTAAATTAGCGAATTTTAATCCATTTCTGATAAAGAATCTTTGAATCTCGTCATTTAAAGAGGTTTGTTCGCCGATGGCCGCACTTTTAAACCCGAGATTTTTATTATTTCATTATAAAAATTTTAAATAAAACCCCATATTTTTACTTTCTATGCATGATAATGATATCATCCGACACTGTGTCTGTATCAATGTCAAACGCACTTGATAAAAAGAATATTCCGAATCAAAAATTCCTTCATCACATAACACTGTCGATAGTTCCTATTACACTAAACGACTGTCATTGAATGAATGAATGAAACAAAAAAGTTCACTCACTGTTTTTACTGTTTAAAGAAAAAAATACTCTTATTGTAACTTTTGAACATTTAAATTGCAATGTTTTAAGTAAGATATATTCCTCATACAATTCTATATGTAAAATTATCAGACTGTTTTCGGCCCGTTATTTAAACAATACAAATCAAGAGCAAAACAAACACGAACCTCTGAAACATTACATTAGAGGTGAGATCAGGTGCCATGGAGTAAGCATCCCCTACCGAACAGTCACACAATTTCTAAAACAAGGTAATTTATTGACAAACAAGTTGATGAAACAAGAATATCAACAGTCTCGTGTAAAGTCATCATTTCGTAAGTTCTATGGTCGATACAATGAACTGGTCACCAAATACGATCTATCATTAAGTCATATGCTGACTAACATCTTTCATACTAATTGATAGACCATTATTTACACACTGAATTGTCTACGGATTTTTTTTGTATTTCCCGATCATGACAAGGTGCACACGGCTGGTGTTACCAGGCGGTAGAGGATGCTCACTCCTCCATGGCATCTGATCCCACCTCTAATGTTTTAGAGGTCCGTGTTTGCTCTGCTCCAAAATTTGTATTGTTTAATGGACTTTTGAGCTTGAATATTGTTCGTTATTTCCATATATTTCATTCCAAAAAATGAAACATATAAATCCTTTAAAAAATACTTAATGACTTACCAATATTTGATGTATAATTTACCAGACAGATTGGCCTCCCATTAAGAAGCTCATTCAAAAACCCTTTTAAAGTGGTGATAATGGTTTGAACATGTTTTTATTTAAGTTTTCATGCAGTTTCTACGATGATTTGCTTTAATTGGTGTGCACCTGTTTTCATCAATACTTAATGTAATAGTTCATGAAGAAATTTGTTAAAAGTCGAATCAATTCACACGCGCTAATTTATTCAAATGATGGAGTATTATGCTTAACATCAAAATTACTTGGAGACGAACTTACCGATGTATGACGATATTCAGATATTTTTCATATTTTTTAAGTTCTTTGTAATTCAGGTATCCTTTTGTGTATGTGTCTTACAGAGTTTTGACATATAGTTAACGAGACAAAAAATGGCTTATCACTAAGAAGTGATCTAAGTCCTTTCAAAAGATGAGATATTCAGATATTTTTGTTTGAAGAAATTCGAAAGTATGGTTCTTGTGTGAACTTGTTTTTCTTAATATTTATGCAAATTTCAATATCAAGAAGAGACTGGCTTTTATTGATCTGTAGCGGGAATTATCAATATTTAATTTATTCAGACATTTTTTTCTTATTTTTTATGCATTTGCTTTTACAATTTAAATATCCTTTAATGCATGCTTTTCAAGTCACTGGTAAAATGTTACTAAGTTTATCAATAGATTCACCGTATCCGTGTGTGAAGTTGTATGGTAAGTTTTATCTTTGCATTAAATTGCATTAAATTGTAATCTTATGTAAGATCTATCCTTCATATCATTTGTTTGTTTTGCTCATATTGAGATGCCACGTATTGCCAGTAAGAAACTGCAAATTCAAAAGCAAATATTTGTGTTTGAATAAATTCGGAAGTTTGGCTCTAGTCTGAACGTGTTTTTATTGTTCTTTTTACAAATGCCAAGAAAGGGTTTGCTGTTGTTGATGTGTATTGCAATTTTCATTTATCAATATTAAATTTATTCAGTTATTTTTCTTAATTCATATGTACATGCACTCGCCTTTACAATTTATAAGTTTCAATTGCACAAAGTAATGGAATGTGATGTAGACCTAACCGTCTATAGAAGAAAAATTATAGCGAATCTAATTAAGCATTGTGTATATTAAACTCTTTACATGAACGATATTCATGACAGCTCTAACGTCTTGATGTACTGTTAAAAAGTTTATGCACATTGTCTTTGGCACACTGTGGGCTTGGAAGATTCCTTACAATATTGATGTTGTCATTGCAACCACACGGAAATGCAGTACCTAGTTTCCTAAGCTAGTATTCTTTTCGTTGTCTATGGAACGGAGTCCTTGAGTAAGGTTATTTTTGACTATGCACCATGCGCCCCGATATTTGCAGACCTATTTTTGCATTCATGTGAAACAGAATTTATTGAAAACCTTCTACATGAAAAGAAAAAAATATTTTGCTTTTGCTTTGAATTCAATATTTATAGATAAATCTACGACGTTTTATTACATAACAATATTCATTTCTACTTTGATTTGATTTCGAAATAAAAGATACAACAGAGTGTAACACATCTGTTTTATATTTGGATATATACTAGAAAAAGCCTTGACCTTTGAAAAAAAATCGTTTTGATTTTCTTGCAAAGCTTGTGCAGTTCTTACATGCAAGATGTCACAATACATGTTTATGTATATAGCTACTAAAACGACAACATAATATTGTTATAATCAGTTTATTTGAAAGATTTAAATTATATATATTCAAGACAATTTATTTTGAAGCTATGCAAGCAGACAAAAAAGTCAATGATATGTTAAAAAGTCAAACTTGTTCGGTTTAAAAACGTTTGTTAAAAAGTAATGTTACCTACCACGCCCTCCAGGTAACATTACATAGCAATGGTTGACAATGCATGACGATGGGTAAAATGTTCACTATTCAGAATATTTGCACGTACGGTTAACTGTGGATTTTCTTTTAAATGCATTAAATGCATTCTAAATACATTCAGTATAGCAAAAAAATATTACATGTTTATTTAGGGTAACACGTGAATTGTTGTCCGCGGAAACCATTGCTGACCATTGTAGTGTGTTTAGCAGTCCCCTGTTCTGTACAACAAAGTTCTCACTCAAATTTACAGTTTTATGTGTGTTTAGCAGTTTTATGTGTGTCTAGTGTCTAGCAGTCCCCTGTTCTGTACCACAAAGCTCTCACTTAATTTTACAGTTTTATGGGTAATCAGTATATTTTTCTCATGCTGCAATCAATGTATAAATATTTGGATTTATAATGAAATTTAAAAGCTGTAAAATGGAGTTGTGAAAGAAACATCTAACAAACAAACACTAATTTATTTATGCTTTGCCACCTAGCCGCTAACGTAAATAAGTACATATATACTATGTATTTGAACAAGAACATGCTTTCTTTGATTGCTGTTTGGGGGTTGGGGTTACATTGTATACAACTTTTTGTCAAAGGAAAGTAAGCTTCTTTATTTCTTTTAAATAAATTTTAATTACTATTATAATTGTTGGAAAATTTTATACAATCTAAAGCGTTTCAAATAAATCAGTCAAATGACTGACATGTATATGTTAACAGGGGATTTACATGTCAAATTTTTCTCCAAGTAAATTAATATCTAAAATGAACTCTAATATAAATTATGCAATATTCTATATTTACTTTACATATTTCATTAATTTACATAAAAGTTAATGTCTTCAAAAGCTTGCATTCTGTTCCCTGAACAAGGGTAAATTAGTTACTTATAATCAATAATTTATTATTCATCAAAGATAAATATCACATGTTTTAATTTGTTTTATACTTGTTTTCTAATAATTTCTTCCTGGGAGGCTATCCTTTCTTGTTGATAATACGTCAATGATCTGGGAACTTGTAGCTTTCCAAGAATTTTAATTTAACGCATATTGCCCTGCACTTTAAATAAAATTTCAAAAGTTTAATTTTTATGTGAACATGATTCGATTGATATTTATGTAAGTTCACCCAAATGATTGCCTTTCATTTTTATGTACCTGTGTTTGTTTTTATCAATACTAATTGCATGAGTTAGTTAAGACATTTGATTTTTATTTGTATGCCTATAATTTGTAGATACGAAACACAAGTCAAAAATATTTTGCCAAGTATTTTATTAGGGACAGCGTACTCATATGTAGGATTTTGCATGGTAAGTTTTATCTTTGTATTTGATTAAGGATAAGACGAATTCTTTCGATTCGCATATTATTCTCAAGAAAGGATATTACAACTGTATCTATATATTTCAGATTTATAGCTTTATTAAACATATCCTGGATTGTAATTTACCATAGTTGGGATAAGTACAAACGTTCATGTAATCTTAAAAATCTTTTTCACTTCTACTTTATGAAAAGAAAAGGAATTTCAATATCTTATACTTCCCCCGAAATTTGAAAAAAAAAGTATTTGTGTCCTCAAGTTTTAGTTAGAAAGAATGTAACGTGAAATGAGAGTTCCGATAACACGAGTACATGTTCCTCCGTGTATTGAACCGGTCATGGTAGCCTAGTGGTAGGGCGATCACATTCTGATGCTTGAGTTTCTGATTAATAATATCTATGTCGATTTTGGAAATCAAGTCTTCCAACAATCCGTCGGAATTCCCACGGGTTCTCATTGCGCCCAGTTACTAGCAGACCTATTCTTGTATTCATATGAAGCAGAATTTATTCAGAAACTTCTACATGAAAAGGAAAAAGTTTCTTGCAGTGGCCTTCAATCAACAGTTATATATATCAAAAAAACCCAGTTTACTGAGTTATATCAAGTCAATATACGATTGAGAGTAGATAGTGTTAATAGATGAAACGTTTTAGATATATATCGAAATAGCAATGAATGCTACAAAAAAGAGTTTATTTTTCCTTTCTTGTAGAAATTGAAAAAAAAATGCTGCTGTCCCCATAAAATGATTCCGTAGCCCACTTAATTTGTTGTTTAAGAAAATCTCTAATCTTTTGTTTTAAAGTTTTGCATTTCCACCAAAAAAGGGATAAAAGCACTCAAAGTATAAAAGATGATAAAACGCTTATTAGATCGTACAGTATTTACTATTTATACTCGTAACTGTTGTCTGCTGAGAAGACACAATTTAAAACTACAGATTTCATTTTTCTTCAACGTTTTTTGTCATTAATGTAGGTAAATTAGTGGAAAATAAGATATAAATATGATAGCAGAGTGCCTGAACTTTATCATTTCTTAATATTATCCTTGCCAACCCTACGCATTTAACTATTTAGGCAAATAAAAAAGCTGAAAGAATGGTTCTTTTGGTTCCCCTCTTTCTAAACCTGCTTTATCTTTTCTATTTCTATTTTCTATTTGATGAGCTTCTTGGTTCTTATTGAATAAGCTGCAGTACGCATACAGGGTATACATTTCCTAAAAGCTTTTAAATTAAACGTTTTATTTATCAATAGAGATTGTTCTTTCTGACGTATCCGTATAAGTATCAGTATCCGCATACGTATCGAGGTGAGAGAGGCATCTCGATCCCGATGTCTAAACTATTTACTATAATTTCCATCGTTATTTGTTTGGTTTTAAAGCAGCCCCATCCATTTAATAATATCATATGGTATTTTTTCTAATAAAAAATGTATTTATTTGCTGTAAACGTCTATCATTTCGCTGGAAAATTTTAAAAAATAGATAATGAAATTAAATAAATTTGTATTTGTTTTTATTACACTGTTTAAAACTTTGATTGCAATTTTGTTTAAAAACATTTATCGGGATCCCCCTCTCTCCCTCTTAACATCAGGACATTTTATTGATTGATTCTGTAATTAACATTAGATGACATCAAAGTTAACCCCCCCCCCCCCCCCCACACACTAAAATGCAAAAGACGTTGATATCCACACAATCAATAAAACCTTGTAGCCGTTTTCTATAGAGAATTTGCTTCCAGACCCTTACCAGCATATGCTTAAAAATGCCAGTTCACCCCCCCCCCCCGGGAACACACACAAATTTTCATAGCGTCTGTTGACTTTCCTCATTCTTTTTTCAATACCTGTATGTCTTCCCTTCCCCTCCCCAGTTGAAATTGCTACTTTCGTGCCTATTCTCATACGGCTTGATTTTGCTTTATATTTTTTCCTTTCAGCAGTATTAACTTGAAAAGACTTCATGGCGACAAAAAAATAGGTAATGAAATGAAAATGCAATTGTTAAATTTGATTTTTCCTTTTAGTTCTCTTGTTGTCGTACGTGCGTATTAGATATTATTCATGGATTTATATAGAAACTGTTTTATAATAGGGTATTCATTATTTTAACTCTCTTTTTATAAGAAAGAAAAGAACTTTAGGCTAAAAAATTCCAAAACAATAGATTTATCTATTTCTTCTATGCTACCTTGTCCATCCAGCTGATTTTTATTTATTTATTTATTTTTTAATTTTATTTATTTATTTATGCATTTGAGCCCAGATCGGGACAAGTGTGAGTCAATTCAACACGCAGTTTATAGAATTGAAGAGAAGAGGCTGCTTCAACGTAGCAGAGAAATAAAAAACACAGAATAAATGATAAAATTTATACAAAACATTTAATTGATAAAATTTCAGCATTTTTTTTTTAGAGTTTTGATCCCGCTTGTACACAAAGAATTAAAGTAGTCTTAATTTCAATTAATAAATCATTTAAACTTTAGTCAACATGTATATAAAGTAATGTATAAGACATAAATAAAAAAAAATTCTGTTTATCTCCTTTTATCGACAATTGTTAATTCATCCCCGATAAAAACTGCGTGTAATTGCATCACTTTCGGAAATGGTTGTCCTTTCTCAAGCTCTCTGGAATTTCGGATACGGCTATCACCTAACAATTTAGGGAATTTAGAGTCTTCAAACCATCCCTATTGCCAGCTTTCCAAAGCTTTTCTGGAGAACTATGTCCATCATATATAATCAAATGATATACAGAATGTTAATAATGATAAAAAAGAAAATGAGGATCGAAATTTTCAGTGCCCCCCCCCCCCCCCCACACACACACACCCTTACACACAGAGTATGCAGTATAGTCAAATTAATCTTTCACAGTTAATGTATCCGTAATTATTTTTGTGGAAAAGAGGAACTCAAAACTTAATATCCATCCCCCCCCCACATACATACATACCCAGTAATAGGTTTTTTAAGAGTTTGATTAATATCTACACATTTTTATTGTCAAATTTTGCTAAGGTGACTTGTCATTTTTTGGTTTCTCCCTGCCTCGGCCCATCTTCCCCCTTCTCCACTTTGTTAATCAATTTTAAGTGTCTGCTTGATGTATACAAACTTATACTCATCTAGAATGTTTGATCTCTGACACCTCGTACAATTCAACTTTGTTAACTTATCGAAGTTTTAATTGGTCCAATCAAGTTGCATGAGATAACGAGCGTTGACTGTATGCATTATGGGGAATATGTCTTGTACTGGTAAAGGTTACTTCGAGAATGAAACAATAATATATCCTGATATTGTGAGAGAGAGAGAGAGAGAGAGAGAGAGAGAGAGAGAGAGAGAGAGAGAGAGAGAGAGAGAGGTCCCTTTTTAACCTTTTTTTTAATTTTTAAACAATTTAATAAAAATATACATACTTTTTTACTAATTTTATTTTTTTAAAATCCTTCCATAAATGATAGGTGTGAACAGCAACTTGATACGTTTTATTAGAAATATTACAGTTATATTCACTTTGTTAACTTATCGAAGTTTTAATTGGTCCAATCAAGTTGCATGAGATAACGAGCGTTGACTGTATGCATTATGGGGAATATGTCTTGTACTGGTAAAGGTTACTTCGAGAATGAAACAATAATATATCCTGATATTGTGAGAGAGAGAGAGAGAGAGAGAGAGAGAGAGAGAGAGAGAGAGAGAGAGAGAGAGAGAGAGAGAGAGAGTCCCTTTTTAACCTTTTTTTAAATTTTTAAACAATTTAATAAAAATATACATACTTTTTTACTAATTTTATTTTTTTAAAATCCTTCCATAAACGATAGGTGTGAACAGCAACTTGATACGTTTTATTAGAAATATTACAGTAACTATATATCTTATTTTCCAATGAATGAGGTTAAAATCAAACAAGAAACGATGGAAATGGTACCCAACGGTTAAATCATCGGGATCGAGATGCCTCTCATACCTCGATACGTATACGGATACGTATACGGATACGTCAGAAAGAACAATCTCTAATAATACATAAATAAATTCAGATAATTGAATTTGTCCTTGAATCTCATTCCAATGATAAAATAAGACAAAGTGACGATTTATTTCAATGAGATTGTATTTCTACCAAAACCACAGAACTCTAACCTCAAGAAAAATAATATAACTACAGTATTTTCATTTATTATACTTTTTATGATTGATCCAAAAATCCAGCCTAGCTGTAATTATGATGGCATGTTTATCTGTCAGCATACCTTGAAATCACTTATTTTCGTTTTGGTTCAATTTTCATTGCGTTCAAGGTATGAAAAGACCCATGAATTCCACCAAGAAATGTAAAATTTCATATACATAAATACTCAGCTAATTTCCCAACCATGAAATCGAATTAAATCCTCCTTAACCGATTTTTTCTTCAAACCTAAAAAAACGACTCCAAGAAAATGTGTGATTTCACAGTGAGCTCTTTTTAGTTAAGATTGATACTTTCTAGAAAACACCAATTTTCTTACGAGCAGTTCTATATTCTTCGAATAGTAATTTGTATGTTCTTGTACAATATAGGATGATACGAGAAAACATCATACGTAAAAATATAGTCATTTTAATTCTATTTTATTTTTCTCTTTTTCAAAAGATTTAAAAAAAGATATTTTATGAATTTTTTCTAGTTTCTTTGTAGACTTTTAATAATGCCGTTGGGAAATAAAAATAGCGATGGGAATACAATATGGATTATTTTGAAGAAAGGCATCGATATAATCCTGGTATGTACTTTATAACAATTCATCAAAACGTTTTTCGGATAAAAAAATATGAGGATAATATAACGAGGGCCTATAAGAACGAGAAATTTTTTTCCATAGTTTTCTTGTAAAACATAAACAGAATATAAATGCCATCCTTTGGAGAGCATGATTAGAAATCAATGTGTATTTTTGTACAGTAAACAGTTTGTAGATCACATTAAATAATTGGCAATTCTGTTTTAATTACTTTTCTAAAACAAATCGTACACCCGATTTTTATGCAATAAAATGAAAAATGAATGAATATAACAAACAGTTATCAATATCAAAAAAATCTGTCAATAATATAATGTGCAAAGAGGTCATACAATACGAACCCTGGAAATTTCAGACGTGAGATCAGGTGCCAGCTGGAGCTGTAAGCATACTCTTTTAACAGGTTACTGACGCCGTTAGCCCTATGTACAGATCAGGTTGACGGAACATTCCGTATATAAATTCAGTATAAAGACTAAGGCCTAAAAAATTGTTTACAGCCCAGTAGCTATGTACTTCGGTACTACCTTGAAAATACGGATATATATACGGATGTATATCTGGTTGCTGTAGTAAAATTTTAAATTTTATTTCAAAATAAAAGGATTATCTCCCCATACATAGCTCTTAACCTTCAACGTATTTGGCTCCAGACTTTGGCATCTTTTAAAGGTCTTCAAAGTCTCTTTTAATTCAAATATTTTGGATTTCCAACGTTTCGGCATGGGCATCATTGAAGAGACATAACTTGTCGAAATGCGAATCTGGTGCATCAAAATTGGCACCGTTTATGATTCACATTTGAAACACGTCAGCCAAAATACAACCCAGTGATAGAATATATTTTCTAACAAGGTCATTATAACGACGATAGAATTAACAAAATGCTGATTTTAAACAATCCCTGTAACATCAACTTGCCTGGCAGTTGCCTTCATCGGCTTAAAAATTGATCGTGCTCGGAGTATTCTCTTGAGTACCGAATAAGCTGAGGGTCGAAAGCACCATATACAGATGAAATTGATCTGGAGAAATAAAGAGTGAAATTGGACACACTTTATTCTCTACAAGGCTCCAGATTCTAACTTCTGGCAAAGAAGAGGTCAGAGAACAGTTCATAAGAAGAAATTAAAGTTATCATTTTTCACCCATAATAAAAAAATGGTACCCCAATACCCCCCCCCCCCCCCCATTTGATTAGATCAGAATGAGACTAGAACATTAAGTGAATGACATCTACTTGAATACGCTTGTAAAATAAAAGACTCCTTAATAGGATGAATGCACTATTGGGAATAATGTTGTCGGTTACCCTAAATCGCTCTCATCATGAGAGTGCAGTATACTATCATTCTAAAAATCTACAAGTGGAAAAAAATATATAGCTGGCCAAGCAATTGTGTCCATTAACAAAATCTTACGATAGTAAATATAACATGTTTTCATTCAATGGTTTCCAACATTGTCAAAAATGATTAGCATTTCAATGCAAAATCCACAAATTTCACTTAAACTTCAAAATTCACACATTTCACCTAAACTGACTCCAAGGAAACAAGAAAACAACTGTAAATGTTCCATTTTACCTTCGCAAACACTTTAACTTAAAAATATCTTTATCAAATATTAATGGTGGCATGGAATGTGCATGTCCTGACCTCATATCCGCATGAATAAGATTCCTTCTCTACAGTTTACACATACACTGAGTGTAGATATATACCAACATTGTATTGAACTGCACGGATTGTTGGTTCTCCAGTTGTATCTTATGTTAGGGTTCTTGGAGGTGTATGGTACGAACTCGTATACAGTTTTATAATTGCATGCTTATTTCCTCTATACATACCTAGCATCAAAACATATTTTCATACTAATAAAAGGTAATTTTATTCTAATGAACTGTAAAGAATGATGTATTACTAATATTTTATTCCGTTTATTCAGTTTCTTTTGGGTCTTGGCTGGATGATAATTGGAGCTGTAATCCTTGGGACAATCTCATCCAACAGTGACATCAACAAAATTTTAAACATCATTACAATACTTTCTAATGGAGTCGGTGACGACATCAAAATCCTGTCCGTAATGTTAATTGTCATAGGAGGAGGTACCATGATGTATGCAGTATTTGGTTTTGTTCTATTCTGTATAAAAGAAGAAAAGAAGAATGAGATACCTTCGAGATGGAAAACAATGCACATTATCGTATGTGTTTTAGCTTAATCACTGACGTTTTATCCATCATGTAACTCTCCTAACCGCTCCAAAATCGTACAATATGCAAAAACAAAAGGTGTAATGCTGATTATAAATTGAAATTCATCTGCTTTTACAAGATATGCCCTGTAAGCTATCAAAGATATTTTCTAAAATAGAAGTAAGCAATACTTCTACAATCAAACATTTAAAAAATATTGTTCTCAAAGATAAATGTTATCATTTTGACGTATTTTGCTCCAGTCTTTGGCACCTTTTTCAGCTCTTTAAAAGATATTTTATTTGAACATTTAGGATTTCCAAAGTTTCGGCTTGAGAATCACTGAAGAGACATAATTTGTCGAATGCGCATCTGGTGCATAAAAAGTTATACCATCTGTGATTTACATCTGTCTGAGACTAAATCACATAGATGAAATGTGAATATAACGAACAGTTATAATGATCAAAATCTATTTAAACATGATAAAGTGTGACGAGAGCTAACAACGACCCCTGGAAACAGAGGTAAGATCAGGTGCCATGGAGAAGTGAGGATCCCCTACAACCGATCACATCCGCAATATTCCCTTAGTCATGATTGGGTGAACAGAAAAAAATCCTTAAAAATTCAGTGTGAAAGAAATGACCTATTATTGTGTATGAAAGACGTCAGTCAACGCTTTATTTGCAAACAAAATCAATGTATCGACAATAGAATTTGCAAAATATTGACTTCAAACAAGATTGTTGATATCCTTGAATCAGCAACAAATTTGTCAGTAGCCTCATTTTAGAAATAATCGTTTGTAAAACATGCTCTTGCGATTCGAATCAATTGGAAGACATGGCAGATTTGAATATATACGATAGGATAATACGTTAAATTGTAATAATCCTTGTATAAACATTTATTTTCAGTAATAAGATACAGATATACATGACGGCGTATACGTGTCATTTAAATGTTGTAGAAAAATAAAATAAATTCGTTTGTACAAGTTTTAAAAATTGTTTGTACTATTAAAAAATCATTTGCACGAATTTAAGCAAGATTTTGCACAAATAAGAAAATTCTTTATACAAGTCTTAACACCCTTCCCTCTCCCGCTTTTTGTTGCAGCACGGTCAAATTGTCCTACGTTGATGCACCAAAAATGTTTTCGTGGAAAGGTGAGTTGTTGTAACCTCGCCCCCTCATTATTTTAAGGGGGTAGGTATTTAATTTTTTTTTGGAGACACTTATTTGTTTGGCAATTATTTTCTGGTTGCAACTCATTCTTCTAATTTTTGAAAAAAAAAAAAAACCGATGCTTTGTACTTGGACACAGTTCACGAAGTTAATGTTTTGAACACATATTCAAGAATGAATAATCATACTTTACGATGCTGCATATGTTGAAAGGACATTCTCTATTCTCACGAATTTATTGACTTAATATTTACATAACCTAAACTTTTGTTTGGTGTTTTCGTTATGATTTGTTGAAGCTCAAAACTGCAAGCGTTGATTAAGGTGCCAAAAAGTATTTTAAAAAATTGAACAAAAACAAGCAAGCAAAGTAAATAAGAAAACAATATATAATATATGCAAAAGGAACCAGCCTTGTTGCATAATGCATTTCAATTTCTTTTGAATTGTTTAGATAAAACTTACAATATTTTAGATGCTTCGAGTTATCTTATCTCGTTTTTAAGAAAATGATTTCATGATTTCTTCTCTAATATAGACCTATCTACAAAAACGAATTTGAATGTCGGTGGGATGGGGTAGGGGGCAAGAGGTGTACTTCTGAATTTTTAATTAGGGAATTAATTAGGATTGGTCATAGATGTGTTCTTTTCATAATATCATCAATTGTCTCATAGTATTCGTGTGGAAATTGCATATTTATTTTCATATCCATAAACCTACTTTGATTTACTGAATCGTACAAACAGTTTTTTTTAAATGTACAAGCGATTTTCTAAACCATACAATTTTCTAAATGGTACATTTTTTTTCAAATCGTACAAACGGCTCTCTGAATCGTAAAAAGGGACTCAGAAATCGTGAAAAAGAAATTCTAAATCGTACAACGATTTTCAAAATCTTACAAACTATTTTTCGTAATCTTACAAACCAATTCTGAAATCGTACAAACCAATTTTGAAACCGTACAAATCAAATTTGAAATATTCAAAAATGATATAAAAAAATTTAACAAACGAATTTTTAAAAACTCTTTTTCCTGCAAAATTGAAAAAAAAATGAAATAGCACGTATACATGTATGCCGGTCATTTAACTACATGGTGTTGAAACATGGTGTTTAAACAGTAATAAACAATTCACCACCTGACCAATTACCCCGCATGTTTATCCAGCGAGCCAAAAATACTTTCATATCAGCTTATATAGAAATACGAAAACTGCAATTTAACAAAGTTTATACAGAAGTTTCTTTTGCATAGACAGAAATGAATTTTAATAATGTAACATTCAATATTTAATATATTTTATTTTATTTATACTAAACAATTAGATTTTCTAATTGAACCATCGTTCCGACTGAGTAACTGGTTAACCGACAAATTGCGTGCTTGTGATTTTATGCTTTAATTCTTCTGTATAAAATACAGCAGTTTTCAGTTTTTATTTTTTTTACAGTACCCTGTTATTGGTGTTTTATTGATTGTGTCAACGATAGTTGTCCTTGGCCTATGGAGTCACATAAGAATTAAGGTACAAAGAATGGAGTATTTGCCATTATTTTCCTGGACATAATACTCATATAATATTCATCACATTACTCGGAATTAATATATATATATATATATATATATATATATATATATATATATATATATATATATATATATATATATATATATATATATATATATATATATATATATATATATATATATATATAATTTTTTTAAATATTTTAAAAGTTTGAAGAGGACGACCCAAAGATTCGTTTGCTTGAGAACATGAGAACATACTTTACATCAGATGTAGTCGGCAACACAGATTCATTTCCAAATTCATGGAACAAACTTTTTATGGAGGTATGTCTTCCATGAAAGGAAAACGTTCTCTCTTTTAGTATCAGAGAGTGTAAATTTTTATAAAAGGCTAGTTTTAGGATATATTTTTTTTTTAGTTGTAATACTTTGTGAATATGTCATAGAAAAATGTTTTGATTAAAAAAAAGTCAAAGAACTCTTGGGGTACGGAACAACGGGGGGGGGGGGGGAAGGAGGTCCCGTCCCTATGCACCTGTGTCTGATGCATGGTGAAATGAACATACAGTAAAAAAAGGCAAAAACGTCAATATATACTTTGACATGAAGTGTCTTGAATATTTCTACAAAATTATCAATCATAAACAAAATCCACCCACGACAGACTCGTTCATATGAAGTCTACTGAAAGAAAGACAATTTTTAAAATTTGCAAATTCCAAAAATTCTGGTTACTCCCTTTTGATGATGTCAGATATGATTCGTGTTCAATTTTTGTCACGGGGAATAAAAATAATAATAAAATTCGGCATCATTATAAATTTTGAAGTTTTGGCTTCAGTACTTAAACAAATCAAAACACAGGGAAATTTATGTTTGATGCAAGTTTATAGCTCAAAATTGTCTGAAGCAAAGTATGTGTCCGATGCAAGGTGAACACATAAAAGCATGTGCAAAACACGATGTAATGACATTATTAACTTTGTTAACAACGTTTTTCATACTGTCAATATCCACGATAATATATCGATATCAAATCACGATTATTCTTATGCCCTTAATATTGTCTTTTTTTAAACATGTGAGTTACTTGAATACTCTCACTTTTTGAAGTTTCCTGACCGTGTCAATATCGTTGATATTGACGCTGCAATATCGACACATGTTCTCTCGCCCTTGCTTTGGTCAATCATTACTATTGTGTATTTGTACATTTGTATGTTTGAAATGTTTGAATACTTTACAAGGGCAAAGATTGTACTTGTCATCGATGTCGTCAATATCGATATTGAATCAATTTCGTCATCGCTTTTTGACTGTATTTCTTTATGCAATACTTGTTTTATGTACTTACCGATTGCTAAGTTTGCCCCACAGTTGATATCATAGATATTGATGATACCATACCGATATCATAAGATTTTTCAAAACGTATTATGTTTACCAACATTCACCCTAACCCTAATTCAAAACCTTAACCTAACATTAATCCCAGACAATAACAATCCCTTACCCTCTGTTAATCATTTTTCTCTATTTACATATTCGTGTCAATTACGAATCAATATCAGCATCACCTGTGATCTCATATAATTAAATAATTCATAAGCTTGAAGATCAGGGTCGAAATCAATATTCAATATTTAATATCGACATAATACTCAGTCTCAAATATGGCAGTACATCTAATTTCAGAGTACAGATCACGATCTATATCGATACGATGTAAAATTCCTGATTTTGTCGAGATTATATTACATTTATGGACAAAAGTTTCTGGTAAAAAGAATTAGAGGCATATTTATTTTATTTGAATATAGTTATTGCATTACTCTCAGTACATTGATAATCAAATTTTCAAATTCAAGTGCTTCCTCTGGTCTTTACCAGATTATTAATTTATCTGAAATTAAATCTATTAACAAATTTTATTCATAATGTTTAATTTGTGGAATCATTGTAATTCGTGGGGGTCTATATTCCTGGGCAAGCATAATGTTATTGGTTCGTGAGGACGAAATTTCGTAGGCAATTCGTATATATAGAAGAATTAATGAATAAATATGTGGACAAAAATGTTTGTGGGGATGTAAGTTCGTGGATAAGGGAGGCCTTCGAAATCAACAAGCATTGGTCCTCCTCGAACATTGATGATTCCTTGGTACTTCTTATTTTTTCCCTCTATAATTGAATCGATGTAAAAAGCTTATGTTATTTTATCTATTTATTTGGATTAGTTGGACTGTTGTGCAATAAATCCTGTGTTCAGCAAAGATAATGATTTTGACCCGACTCCTTGGTGTAGAGAGAGGGGAGAATGCCAACAAACTAATTCTGAAATTCCAAAGACCTGCTGCAAGGGTGTCACAGTTAACACATATGCGTCAGCTCCATCAGACTGCCATGCAAGTGTAGACAGTGGAACATATAATTCCAAGGTAACTCAAAAAATATGATCTTCGGGAAAATCAACCAATTACTGATAGTGTTTCAAGTTGGATTGCCACCCTGAATTTAGGGTAGGTCAAGGGTTTGCTATTGTCATCAATTAAGGTACACAGTTTCTACGATAAGATCGTTGCTTTTATTCGTGTATTCCATTATGAGTCAGTTACGTCACAAAGGTGACGTCGCATTAATTCTTGTTTTTTGTCTAAAATTACCTTATAAATAGTCAATACGAATCAAGTAACTAGATACAAAGTAGGTATATATATCGTATGATTCAAGATCATTATGTATTCTACATCTGATATTATAATTTGTAATGTCTATGGTTTTCATATGTTAGAACAAACATTCAACATAATAAATACAACTCCGCCGTCTCCTATATAGGGCTGGTATTTCCTTAACAATTTGTGGATAAAATGATAAATTTTTTGTACAGTATGTGCTTGAAATTTTAAGACCTTGTCACACCAAGCTGCGTCCCCACAGCGTTGTTAAGTTTTTAAAATCGTCACGGCGTCCCTACGGCGACCGACCGTTTCTACGGCGTTCTCGCAGCATGCTACTGTGTTTCAACGGAGATTTCTTGGCAATTGACTGCACTTCCGTGGAGTTTTCACGACTTGCTAGGAGTTGCCACCTTGTTCACGGCGTTCTCACTGCGCTGGCTACATCCACAGTACGTTCACAATGCGCCCTCAAACGCAATGACATCTAAGGACTCCGCCAGGTCTCCGTGGAAGCGCGGTCTACAATGACTGCGTTCATGCTGCAATCATGTGGGTCTTAACGGCGTGCCTACGGAGCTCCCACTGCGTTGATGAAGATCTCACCGTGCTGCTACGGCGATCATACTACGTTTCTACTGCGTTCATTTGAGACCGCACTCCCACGGCGCGTACTTCGTGCATGCCCAAAGTTCGCGGCGTCCCCTTGCATTCTAGAAGACACCCTACCGCATTCAGTGGAGATCTTGCCGCGTTGTCACAGCGTTGTAGGAGACTCTACTGCGCTCACGTTTTGCATTTTTTATGGACGTCGTGCGATTGTCGTGAGGACGCAGTCCCGGTGTGACAGGGGTTTTAATGAATATAAACAATGTGCTAAAAAATACTTTCATTCATTCATGATTATATTAACTCGCTGTGTCGCAGCATATAAATCTTCATGCTCGAACATGTTAGTATCAATATACTGTTCATTCAAACTTTGTGGCCATTACTAGTGGAGATTAATTGCTTCATGTTTTCTGCATTTTGTGAAACGATGAAAAAAATACAATGAATGAAATATGGAGATATAAACAGTAATCCAGCTCAAAAGTCCGTTGAAACAAAACAAATTGGGAGCAGAGCAAACACGGACCTCTAAAAAATTCAGAGGTGGGATAAGGTTCCACGGAGGAGTAAGCATTCCCTGTCGACCGGCCACACCAGCCGTGTGCTCATTGTCATGATCGAGCAAACGGAAAATCAGCAGACAATTCAGTGTTTAAATAATGACCTAACAATTAGTGTGAAATACGTCAGTCTGTCTACATTTAATGATAGTTTGAATTTGCTGTCAAGGTCATTGTATCGACCATAGAACTTGCGAAATGATGACCTCAGAGGAGACGGTTGATATCCTTGCTTCATCAACTTGTCTGTCAAAAGCTTGCCTCGTTTTGGAAATTGTTCGATCATGGCACATGCTCTTGCATAACGAGATATAAGCTCCATATGCGGGTGTTAAGGGTATATTGCGACAAGGTAAGGTAAGTTGACGATGGAAAATTTGAAATCATCACGTTTGTAATAAAAATTTTTGGCTACTAGGTTTATCATAACGTTATAGTCATGAATAACGCTATAAACGCAACATTCTGGGAATATAAATGCAAACAAGGAAATTAAGTAGCAAAAAATCTACTGGTGAGACATGTTGATTTTTTAACATCAATATTTTAATTTTTCTCGCCATGACGTTTTGAAATTCCTGCCAATTCCTCTCTACACCTTTCAAAAAATTAACCGTTCACGGTAGCTCAGTTGGTAGAGCGCTTTCTTCGTGATCGGGAGGTCGTGAGTTCGAATCTCGGCCGCGACTGACCTAAGTCGATAAAAAATGGGTAGCAACTGTTCCTTCGCCATGCTCTCGGCACTTTGAAGTGAAAGTTTCGGGTCTTTCGGATGAGACTTTAAAAACCGAGGCCAGGTGTCACGGCAGGCGTTGGCACGATAAAGACCCCTCACTGCTCGATTGCCGTAAGTGCCGAGTAAAGGTCAAAGGTTGAAGCCCTTCACCGGTATGTGGTGACGTCTCTATATGAGTGAAAAATTCTCGAATGGGACCTTAAACAGCATACAATCAATCAATCAATCAAAAAATTATCTGATTTTTTTAAAGACAGTTTTCCCATATAATGTGTAGAAAAACGTCGCTTTTCTAACTACTTAAATAGGAAATATTAAAAAAAATATTAACCCCTTTAGAAAAATTACAGAAACTATGCTGCAAATTTTGAGAAACAATTTTAGGGTATGTTTTTTGCAGGTAATCCGTGAACTACTTTAAATTTCAGAGAGAGAGAGAGAGAGAGAGAGAGAGAGAGAGAGAGAGAGAGAGAGAGAGATTCACAGTCTGACACATCTGTTTCTTATTTGGATATTTTACTTGAAAAAGACGTTAATGGTAATCTAACAACAAAGCTTTATGATAAACGTGATGACTTTAACTATTCAATCGTAAACTTCCCTTACTTATGCAGCAATATACCCTTATCACCTGCATACGGGGTTTATATCTCTCAGTTGATTCGATACGCCAGAGCATGCTCTACGTACGAACAATTTCTTAAACGAGTTAAGTTATTGACAAACAAGAATATCAGCAATCACGTTTATAGTCATCATTTCGTAAGTTCTGTGGTCGATACAGTGACCTTGTCAGCAAATACAATCTATCATTAAGTCAAATGCGGACTGACTTTTTTTTCATACTAATTGTTAGGCCATTATTTACACACTGAATTGTCGACGGATTTTCCCGTTATTTCCTTTCATGACAAGGAGCACACGGCTGGTGTGACCGGTCGGCAGAGATGCTCACTCCTCCATGGCACCTGATCCCACCTGATGTCTTAGAGGTCCGTGTTTGCTCTGCTCCTATTTTGTAATGTTTAATGGACTGTTCGTTATCTCCACATATTTCATTCATTTGTTAAAATCTATTAAACATTGAACGTATTTTATTTTACAGGGATGTTACGAAGTTTTAAGGAATAAAATAGATATTTATCCTTCAGCCGTAATTGGTGTTGGTGTGCCACTTTTTATCTTTGGGGTATAGCTAACAATTTATTCATTAAATCATCTCCTTTATATGACATGGTGTTACATGCATATGTAATCTATTTATTTTTTTTTAAACAGTTCACAGTTTTTTGCATTGGGTAACCAGGTGTTCTTTATACTATTCAGAGATATAACGATATAAAAGTTTTATTCATAATGTTATTATATGATAGAAAACTGTTTGTTAAGAATCATTAACGTTTTCAAACGTGATAAATAACTGAAATATTATAAGTCAACATTTCATAATTATGATATAATTACCTTTTTATGATGAATGTTATCAATCAATCTTATGTAAATGTATTTTAGATAGTTGCTGTTTTCCTATTCTTGAAAAACGTTTTGCATGGATTCAACAATTCAGCAATTGACCCAGAAAATCAATAACAGTGCAAAGTTTGCATAATAGCGGGTCATGATCCCGACTCGATGATCTGCAAATTTCAAGAAAAGCAAGATGAAAGTGTTGTTGCTTTCCACAGCCATACCTGATATCAACTATGAATTATTACTACTAAATTATTTAACAAGAACATAATTATGAACAAATGGAATAAAAAATACAAAGTTTTGAGACAACAGTAAATATATATAAAAAAATAACATCTATATAACTGTAACGACTCAAATTTTATATTACTTCAAATAACATAAGTTGTAGGTTTTCAGACTAGTTAGAAATACATTGTGGAAGGTCTTGATGAAAAGTCTGATTTCATTACATGTAACGGTATGAATGTAAAATTATTCTTCACTGCATTGATAATTTCAAAATATAAGATAAAATCTCGACTAAAAGTCTGCTGTGACAGAAATTCATTGTAAACTTGTTAAAATTGTCATTATATATTTGTATCAATATTTTGCATTATTTTATTTGATAAAGTAGTAATTTATGAAGTATTGGAAGTTGTATAAGTTTGTATATTTCAATATATATTGCCAGTTGGTCCATAAAATCAGTTGTGATCTCTGTAGTTAGCATGGAGGAGGACAATGTCGATTATTTTATTTTCATATGAAATAATTGACAATTTACAAATATCTTATAGACGTTTTGCCGTATGTGCCTTCGCTCCTTCTTGATTAGTTTATGGCCAACATTAGAGTTGAACAGAATATACTTTAATGCTTGGTATGAAGTCAATTCTTGTATGCGTGATATAAATGTTATAATCTTTAAACTTCGTTCTCCGGCATCTTCAAACAAAGGAAACATTAGGGAAAAAAAGCAGAAAGAAAGAAAACTGAAAAAAGTCGCCTCAATTATGCCGCCAGATGAAATGTTGTCGAACAAAGGGTGTCACCCTCCAGAGGCTGGGGACGACGCAGTTCGCATGTGATCTCTACAACCAAACAGCCTCAAAAAGACAACTAAAGCCGGACGCCATTTGCAGCGTGGCTGGACCTTCGGCGGGGGATACTACAATGGGTGATGGGATGCAAACGCCCTCTGAGGTCAAATAAATAACGAGCTTTGGCTTGAGTGTCACTAACCCAATCTCACTGACCAGTACTAACCCGGGACTAACACAGTCGTATCATAACGCCACCCAAAATTGCACTCAGTCAACAAACACGGCGAAGCACAGCACATATCAACATGTTATCTTTTCAACCAAGGTAAAGATTCAAACACTCGTGCAGAGAATGCAGTGGAAACCATCCGGCCAACAAAAGCCAAACAAATCTCAGTAGTAATTCACTGGGCAAGACCCAAGTTAACACTCATAAATTAAAAAAACATCTCTTAGACATAATAGCCAACATGCATTTGTAATTGACGGTTTCGCAAATTGTTTTCAAATAATGCTGGTCCAAGAAATTTCAGGGATTCAAAAAATCTTAAAAGTGCCAAAGTGTCATTTGAAACAAACACATCGTTAATTTAAACAACATTCATAAAAAGCTAGCACTGCACACAAAGCGGTTCCTTTGCTCAATCACATTTCGCTAACTTACAAACTTTTTTCGCTATGCTTAGTACCAAAATGGACGGAGATCTCTGCCTTATACATCACCTATCATACCCCGACAGCCATTCTGTTAATCACTACTTCCCCCAGTCAGAATGCGCAGTTCACTATTCATGCATTGATGATACTGCAGCCATTGTTGCTGTGCTTAGCCAGGGCGTCTTGCTAGCATAATCCGATATTAAGTCAGCTTTTTTTCTTCTTCCAGTCAATCCTGTAGATTTTGAACCCTTGGGCTTTAAATTTTAAAATGAGTACATTTTTGACAAAATACTCCCTGTTGGAACTTCCATAAGCTGTGTCATCAGGGTAAAATTTGCAACTCCACTTCATTGGATAACTCAAAATCAATCCCGTAATCTTAACATACTCCATTATTAAGACGAATTCCTTTTTACCGGCCCACTAAACCCTGAGGTGTGTGCCGATACATTTTCATCATTTAGAATTATTTGCTCAGATAATGGGGTGCCAACTGCAGAGGAAAAGACACCCCTCTCCACTACCATCATTTTTCTTGGCATCGAGATTGACACTCATGAAATGGTAATGAAATAACCAATTAAAAAAAATCACTAAAGTCTGCAATAGTCAGTATCTCAATTTAAAAGGTGATTCTATGGTCACTTCAGTCCTTAATTGGACTTCTCAATTTTGCATGTAGGGTCATAGCCCCGGGGCGGCCTTCTGTTGCAGACTCATTGATACAACCTCGGGCATTCTAAAACAACATCACAAAATCAGGGATACAAAGGACATACATACATAAAAACCTACAAGTGTGGATGTCGTTCTGTAGAGACTATAGCGGGGTCATTTTAAACACCTGTTGGGTGTCTGCTACAAATATCCAATTATTTACCGATAGTGCAGGGGGTCCACTGGGTTTCGGCATTTATTTTGCAGGTAGTTGGGCATGTTCTATATGGCCATCTACCTGGACAAGATCCGACATCATTAGGGACATGACATTTCTAGAGTTGTTCCCAGTATATGTAGCTCTGCTCTGATGGCCCCCTTCATTAGCCAATAGATAAATACTAATCCACATTGACAATATGGCTGTATTTTGTACCATAACAACCCAACTTCAAACTCCAAACGCGTAATGAACCTCATTCGCAAAATTGTCATAATCATGCTCAAGTATAATATAACTGTGAAAGCACAATACTGTATATTCCCCCAAAAAACTCAATAAAATTGCTGACAGTATTTCTCGTTCAAAGGACCAAATTCCACCGCCTGGCCTTTGCAGCAGATCTCAGACCTATGCCTCTACCAAATTACATCAGGAGGATCTAGACTCAGAATCAGCAAATTAATGCTGCAATATCCACAAATACTAACAAGCATACAATTCGGTTTTCCACAAATGCCTAGAATTTCTTATGGCTTACAATTTGTCCATCTCCTGGCCTATAATAACAAACACTACATTGCATTTCATAGCATATCTTTCATTGCAAAAGCTTTCAGCCAGTATTATACAACTTAATGTACGTGCCTTGTAATATTTTCATAAAGTAAGTCTATTTCCAAACCCTACAAAGTCATTCCTGATAACCAAGTCAATCCAGGGCCTGAAATGCACGAACCACACTAAACGTGATGCGCGTTGCCCAATTACCATCAACATTCTGCATAAAAATGTGCAAAAACTTTCACAAGCACAAAAAGGTATATTAGAAAATAAACCTTTTCAAACTCGCCATCTGCTTCGTGCATATTTAGCGGTTAGGGGAAATCAGTGTTACAAATCAATTTTATAACAGAAGTAACCATGTCATCAGTTTACAGGATGTAATTAACAATCCTAGTAAAAACCAAATTAAAAAAAACTTATCCCAAATTCAAAAGCAGATCAAACCGGGCACCAAAATGCTTGTTATCAAGAGCGAACCTAAATTCCCGACAATATGCCCAGTCCAGACACTATATATGTTCCACTGCCAACGACCTTTACCCGACCCACCCAGGCTATTCTTCATACACAGCGATACAAGTTCCCTAATTAGATACCAAAATAATGCAATTCGAAAGAAAGCTTCGGTAATAACTTGGGTCCAGGGTTATTTCGAAATTCACAGCTTCCGCATTGGTAGAGCCACCGACATGGCATTAGGGGGGTCTCATTCTGACATCATGAACGCAGGTAGCTGGAAATCCAATGCATTCACCACCTACCTTAGAATATAATTGATCACACTATACAGCACCATTTATAATCTAACCCTACCCCCCCCCCCCCCACCCCCAAGCCCTTCCCAGAAAGCATAAGCTTTTTTACTGCACATTTATTTATTACTTGGTTTATCTAAAGAAAGTCATTTTAGGTGACAAAACCATTTGGATTATAATAGGATCCTCAATTCCATATTGGGCAGGTGAATATGCCTAGCAACATGGAGGTGGAAACCTGGGCCTCCCAGAAAATCCAGTGACATGCCAAAACGGGAATGAAGTGACATGATTTGGATCCCTGCATCCTTTATTTCCTTAAATCACTCCCACCTTCAGTATCCTTGTAATGAACTTAGGATCAAATGATCTGGTCTCAAAAGAACTAAACAGCAAAGTCCTAAGACAGGAAATAGTAAGTTGAAAAACAAACAGAATAAAGTATTGGGGATTTAAAACAAGTTAATTACTAATAGAATTAGAGTTGTTAAATTTATTCTGTTAGAAAACTGTAAATTAAAAAAAAATTCGAGCCAAGGAAATTGATGAAAACTGTAAAAACTCTAAAATCACCTCATTATTAACTATGTATTGAAAGTTTTGTGCCCCTTCTTTCTCTTCCTGCTTCTTCCTCTATTTCTTTCTCAATCTCTAAAATTTCTTTCACATATTTATTGCCTTGTGTATAATTGTGATTGTTTGTATTTTTGAATCATTTGATTACAGAATAAAAAATCATCAATATATCATCAAAGCCCTTTAACAGCACTTGTTTCGATCTTGTTGTTATTTGAATATTGCCACTGATTGGTAAAAATTCTGATGTATGTGCTTTAAAATTATTTAGAATTTTTTCTTTTTACCAAATCCTTGATTTTTTTTTCAAATCACCATCATGTTATAGAAGAGAAAATTAGTGAGAACTAGAGCCGAGCTCGTTGCAGAGCAACGAATAGGTCTTCCGTTGGAGCAGTGACCTTGAGTCAAGGTCATGCCATATTCTAAGATGATAAATAATCTTTTAAGGGACTATCAACTTGCAATGCTTCGCCAGTAGAAAGACAATAAAATAATGTACACTTTCTATTTCGTGACCTTGAACTTGTCCAGATGACCTTGCGTCAAGCCATGACACACTCTGGTTATGACGCAAACCTATCTGTGTTACCGACTTGACAAGTTAACACATGTTCTTTCAGACCACACATGCAGTAAAAGTATCTTGTTCTTAGTGACGTTGAACTTGAGTCAAGGCCATGACACAGTCTGTATGATACCAACAATACCCATTCTGAGTGTTTCCAATTTGACAAGTTTACACATGTTTTTTTCATTTCGTTTCCATATAGTTGTAATTTATTACTTTTAACTCGCTGGCTTCAAATTTTATTGTATATATGTTTTATGTCCAATTTCGATATTGAAAAACGTCGGCATCTTTGAGTACGTGTACAAGGTGCATTACGTTACCCTATCACATCATGTTTTATAACGCAGACCATACATGTATATATAGTCAGCGTTATAAAAAAGGTTTAAAAAACCCATTTTATTCATCAAAAATCTCTGCTTAATTATCTTTGCTGATTTCTTACAGAACTAGAGTGTTCCCAGGAACGCATGTGTCGCCTGCTTTTAGCTTCATTAAAGATGTAACTAAGTCTAAAAGTTATCAGCTATTTATTTGCTAAGGCATTGAATA